AGCGCAACAACCCAGAAGACAGAAATCTTCATACTCATCGCCCTGATGATGGAGGCAGTATGACCTCTGAAACGTTGGTTAACATCGACCAGACTACACAGCGCAATAACCCAGAAGACAGAAATCTTCATTAATCTTCTCATTACTTAATATTTGCATTCTCCACTGTTTCTTACTTACTTCAGCTATTCTGATCGGCACTTTCTTCAAACAGCCTCCATCCACGATCTACATTCGACCACCTTGGTGCTGTGGGGTCTGGTTTCGTTTTCATGATGTTCCCTTTTGGAGCATAGTCCCGGAAACCTGCCACAATCACTGAGGGTTTCCTCAGTCCTTCCTCTCATAGTCTAGGGTATTAATTAGCCTGTATTAAGACATCTCACGACGGCTTCGTAATAAACCATTACAAATTCATAGGTCACAGGCCTTGTACCAAGACCACTTCACATCGTACGGAGTTGTAAAACGTCGTAGATCTACGAGAAAACAGTAAAATTGTGTTTTTGTAAAATCATATTTTAATTCTTTAAAGCCTAGTGGTATATGTCTGTCCTATTTGCTTAACAATCTGTAACTCTGCAACATTATAAACGAGCTTTGGCTTCAAAGTTTAAAGAATTTTTATTGTATGGATTTTCACTGTGTACGTCGTGCTCGGGCATGTGTGGAGAATCGAGGGGCAACCTTTTAGCATCTGTTATAAAGAAACATCCCCGTCCTTATACTTGGAAATAAAGGCATACATTTATTTTCGTCTATTATTTTGAAAAAGAAGCATTTGCGACCACATGTTCATAGGAATATTTTTTCTTATTTTTGATCCACGAACACGCACACAAAGTTTGTAAACATACTTTTGACTCATCCTGTATAGACCTACGTATGACGAGACTCCTGTTAAGCAGCTAATTTCAAAGACAAAATATTTATGAAGTAAAAGTTCCTTATGTTTCTACAAACACTGTAGTTTCTAAACTCAAAAAGTGTGTGTTCTTATTATCCTCTCTAAGCAAAGTAAATTTACAGCAAAATGTGAAATGTGAGTCGCTCGCAGATGGTCGTGATATCGAATCTTGGTCGAGTTGATTTTCTTGTAATAAAAAAAATTCTCGTACCATCGGCCGTGTAAGATTATTAAAATGTTCGGACGTTATGGGAACTCTCTCTTTTCTCATCCACAAGGCTACTTATACCTTGTTTCTAAGCGACCCACATATATTACTGTTTTAGTCAGTCGCCATGCTGTTTCAGCCTACATTACACAAAGGTTGAATGTACCAACGTTGCGTATTTTTCGAAACTCTATTATCGTGTATCATTCAATATATTGACACTAATATCACTGCTCGTCATGTTGGTAACACCGATAACAGGGCATGAAACCGTACGATTGCATGGCAGCCTTTAATGGTACATGGTCGACACCAAATTTCATCAAGAATCGTCCAACTGTTCTGGATCTAAATCATGCGGACATGCTAACATTTATGTTTTTCCGTTGCAACTACTTTAATCGATGTCGAATCTAAAACTCACTGCAAAACCTTGAAATGTAGGTTTTTAAGCAAATTATGAATTAATGTGCAGATATAATGAGACATGAATGACTTTTAGTGCAGTCAGATCGTTTTTATTCGAGACCCCAGGTGTCTCCTTCGGGGATATTTGTGGCTTTCAAGACCATATCGGTAGTGCGCCACGAAGAAGCCTTCGATAAATTTCTCCTCATTCTCTTCCAAATCAACAGGCATGACAGTCTTACCATGTCATCTCCAGTTGATACAGCGTCGTTAAGTAATATAGGAAAATACTTTAGATTACACTCGAATTTCATGACCTGGTGGCAATTAGGAGTGAAATTTGAAAACCTGACGAAAAGAGACCACTAATAAGGACTAAGCGTAGGTGTGAAGATAATATTAAAACTGATCTTAAATATAAGGAATGTGATTTTGTGGAGAAACATGGAGACAAGTAGTGGGCTTTTGTGAACACGGTAATGACACTTATTTTGCCATAAGAGACTGGAGATATTCTGACCGAATGAACCACTGTCAGCTGTTACAGAAGGGGTCTTCTCCATGTTGTACTTTGCACCTGCTGTTGAGTAGCCTTCCCTGTTTCCGTTTACAAGGCTTGAAATCTCGTACATCACGGAGAGTCAACGAGAGGCAGAGAGAGGACTGATAGAGAGAGGGTACGTCGGAAGGGGGGGAGGAGAATCTCGCTCTAAACCTCTAAACAGGAGGTTTGTTTCGTTGCTGTGAGCTTAACTAAGGATTGCCTCTGCGTGCAAGCGAGATTAAACGCGCTTTTGGTCCGGTCATCAGCAGTTGAAAAGGTCACAAAATGCTCGCTACGTAGCATTTCAAATTACTCTTCTAAGCTTCATGCAGTCCTACTACTTAGATTAATTGCCGAGGATAAGACACGTTAAGCATGACGTATTATAGACGATAAGTGCGCACTAATGAGATGACTTTAAGGAAACGTAGAACTAATTTTGCAAAAGCCACTCTGTGCTTTGTTACAAATCGTACTCAGTAATTTAATTATGTGAACATATTACTATTTTAAGCTTCTTTCAGTGAGCACTGTTACTCAAACTGTGTTCCGCGGAGCCATGGGGATCCGCAAAGTCTTGTCAAGTTTTGAGTGAGAAAATAATGTCTAATGGCGGACTAGTTCATTTTACAAAGTCTTTCTTATCACAAGAACACATTTAACTTTGTCCGTTGTTCCATTACTATTTTAAATTACACTGTGCCGATTTATTATTATTATTTGTAGTGTTCTGTCTGACAACAGGTCCATACGAACAGGATCCTTCCATCCTTTTCTCGGACTGGGACCTGTTCATATACGTTCTTGGCAGATGATCCAGAAGTGGTTTGCCATTGCCTTCTTCTGTGTGTGAGTGGAGTAATTGTTGGGATGCCACGGAGGGAAACTCCGTGTTGCCTAGAGTATGTATTGTTGTTTGCATTTTCAGCACAACAATGTGTGCTGGTAAGTCTGTCAACTTTTAGAATACTAGAGCAACACGCTCCTTTCGGAGCGCTTTCCTCAGAGTCCTTGTCGTTCATTCTCGATAATTTCGCGTTTTTCGTCAATCTGTTTCTGTTGATATTTGATACTCCGTTTTTTTATGTTCTTGTTGAATAAGTTTTTCTACGTGTGTCGTTAATATGGTCTCGTTTTTCAATGTAAGTCTTCTTTCACTTTTCTTCATTTCTTAAATAGTTCTGATGTTTTAGTTCTTTACGTCGCTGTTCGGAGGCCAAATGTCAGTCAAATCTTCATTTTCAAGAACGCGATGTGCTGCTTTTGGAGCAGTGATAATGCGACTGTCTTGGTAGTTGGTGATCTCGTCGTTGTAAAGCGTTATTTGTTTTATGACGTCATTGTTTGGCGACGACGAACAATCACAAATTTTATATTAAGAAGAAGAAGAAGATAAGAAAGGAGATAAGAGGTGGTACTTTGTTGTTAACAATTGAAGTTGCTGCTGAATGTCATTTCTAATAAAGTTTGCCAGTCCATGTTGTTTTCATAGAAAAAAAGACTGGTATCTCTTTGGTGTTGACTGTTTGTCATTCTTACTGACTTGCAATGAAAGTGTCATCGCGTATTGTAGCCAACCTTACCTGCATTTCTGCAGATGTTAAAAACATTAATTTGGGAAAATATCCGCTTACGAAATAATGACAGTGGTAACAGAAATAATTAAGGTGGTCTGGAACAACAGAGTTAGGTAATACTCAATTAGCTATGTGAGATGAATAGATAATAGACTAAGATAATAACCGGCCGCCAGAGGATTACTGCACAGGGTGACTGTGGTTGAATTAACTCAGTTGTGTCAGTGAGCTGTAACTGATCTGCGGGGTGTCGGCGGCCATGTTTGTAGTAACTACAGGAGTTAGAGTGACCGAAGTGACTAAGACAACCAATAAAATATGTTAACTCAGTGACTGAAGACGTTCACTTTAAATATATCAAAAATATTGAACTTATATTTTCCAGACACAATGGTCTATCGGTCTTCTTAAATTACAGACCACTCGCATTTAATTATGCGTAATTAATTAAAGTTCGTTTTATTCAGTTATGCGTTAAGATTCCAAAATACAAACTTGGATTTTGGATTTCCTTTACGTTTTTCAGCATAAATTGTAAATGTTGGCAGTGACATATGAGTTAACAGTAGAAATGGGCAAACCGATGTTTGCATCTCGTGAACTTTCTAGGTCACAGAAATTGTGAGCTCTCTGCTTTGGATTGGTAATTCTGAACGAGCAATATTTGTAGTGACTTGAATAACTAATTTTCTCATTGGTCAGTCTCTGGGTCCCAGGACAAAATCGTATTCTGTAAAGTGAGACATATGAGAACTATCGAAGTTTGTGGACGGATCGGACAGACTGCCATTTGCTTAAAAATAATGACGTTCTCGAGGAGACGGAACAGCAATAATTCATTCAGGTTGCAAGATGCAGTTGCAGTTTTCTTTAACAATACTGTACAAAGGCTTGTGTCAATCTCAAATAAGAGCGAAAGACCGCGGGTCTGAAGAACACACATAGATATAGCAAATGACGAATTAATATTCAAATTAGATTAAATTAAACAAAATTAACCAGAATGCAAAAATAATTTAGTCCCTAATGATCGACGGCAGGATAAGTCTTGTATTTCCTTCAACCTTTATAATGGACCGCTGGCTCGAAACCAGAATATTAAATAAAAATGAAAGCATAAACTAAGAGCAGCTAGAGGAAAGGGAAACAGATGGAGCTACAAATATTTCAAGTATAAAAGAAAATTAAAAAATAAATTTAAATACGATAGATATCCCCAATTCGAATTTTGTATTTAGAACTAAAATTAAAATTGTATTTATGCCTTAGACGTGTTACTTTAAAGGTAAAGTTTATGCGTTTTTGAATTATGATGATATGGGGCGTTCTCGAACTAACCGTCATCAATGATAGAAGAGAAAATTGTGAATCATCAAACAAAGCGAGCTGTCATAAATATCATCATAACTTACGAAGAAGTATCTTCGTGAGTGCCTGGTGACTTGAAAGTTAAACTTTTAGATTCTACAGTTTCGTGAAGAACCGAGAATTTAATACGGAATGTTACTTCATTAACCTCTGTGACGTTTTCCTTTCTCTCAACCTATTCCCAAGCTTCGTTATTTTCCCGTCAGAGTGTGCCCTGGCCTTCTGTTGTTTTCTTACGTCGTACATGGTCTAGCCCGAGTCAGTCTCCGTCCGATGGTCGGATGTTCCACGTCGCTTTCATTAAATTTCGGCCCAAATTGGGGTTTGCCTTTCTGGATATAAAACTGTGGGGCAGAGATCCCAGTTGAAACAACAAAAACAAGCACCCCTTTGTGAAACAATATCGGAATGTGAACTCGCCCAAACCCACGGCGCACCCACAAACGAGAGGCCAGGAAGAATCTTAC